TGTTACATCAAAATCCACACTGATTATCGCCAATAATTTCATTTATTATGGACTGAACCTTGAGAGAAGAATATTGGATAAAATTTTGTATGAAGTTGATAGCAGTGATATCCCCCGATAATTACTGCAGTCAGTTTCATCACCCTTCTTGTGAACTGGTACAATTATAGACTCCGTCCACCGATGAAGCAATTCTTCCTTATTTAAGATATAATTAATTAGCTTGGTATGTAATAATTCATCTCCTACTTAAATCAGTTTTGCCGAAATTTGATCCCTGCCTGGCGATTTATATCTTCAATTTTGCAATAAAAATTGCAACCTCAAAGTCCTAGGATCAGGTATTAACGGCTCAGCTTTATGTATTTTTGTTTGCCTAACATCACTGACCCTATGTACATTCAATAACTGAGAGAAGTAGTTCCTCCACCTGTTCAAAATGTTGTGGGAATCTGCAAGCAGATCACCATTCTCATCCTTCACTAAGTTACTTCTAGGTTGGTAACCCCTCTTGAAGTCATTTATTCCTCTATACAGGTCTCTAATGTTCTTGTTCTTACTGCTCATTGAAAGCTCATTAATTTTGTCTTTCAGATATTCCCTCTTTTTGTTCCTGAAATGCCTGCTGGTTTCACGTCTTATATTGTTCAGATTATCCCCATTTAACTCGCTTGGATCCTGTAACCACTGCAATTTGGCCTGCTTTCTTTGATCTAATAATTTTGAGCATCCTTCAACGAACCATGCCTTATGCTTCTTCAGTTCATAATCACCTATACTCTCCTTGGCAGAAATGTTTATATTCTCTCTAATAGTTTCCCAAGTTTTATTAACATCCACCTCAGTTTCCAAGTTTTCCAAAGCCGCAAACCTATTTGAGATTTCAACACAATACTGCTCTTTACCCTCTACCTCATTTAATTTCTTGAGATTGAACCTCTCCATGTGAACTCTGTGCGTTTTTCGTTTGCTCACTGTCAGTCTTTCCCTAATAATAAGTTCTGATTAGCTACTAACAGCCTCTCACACGGCACCTTCTCTCTCCACTTTCACGAAATATGCATCGTATCTTCATCCCCTTGACAGACGGGATAACTTTCCTCTACTCCCTCCTCTCCTTCCTTTGTTCTTCAATATTCCGAATCTCCATCTCTTAACCAGTTCCTTTTGAAACATCATGCAAATTCTTTCCTACGTCACACAAGTTTGACACAATGATATTGCTGGTTGTTATGACTGGGAAAAAGAAGAAATCGTATCTTACATCGTTAAAAATAACGGCTATCGGCTCTTAACAGCAGAAATGAGTTACATGCTAACGAATCAATACAAGAAGGGTTTCTCCCCTTAACTGCAATGAATGACTGGACGATACGATTTACATTTTGGGGTACTGGAGTTCGATTTCCCGTTTCTGCACCCCGGTATCCAATTTATCACGTAAATAGTGAAGAGAGATTGGGTGTTGTGCATAATTGTATACTCACAGCGAAAGGAAACTGTCAGTTAGTCCAGCAAAAATGCCACCAGGTAGCACCCTCAGCAATGGCGCTTCGGAAATGTATCTGAAATCACAGAACAAAGAGTCAGAGATTGTATTGCCCGTCCAAAATGCAATGTTCTCAGCGAGCAGCGGCTCCGTACGACTGCATATTACTGTCCAGATTACTGGGGCCAGCGGTGTGTGCGTGTGCAAAGGGTGCAGGGTTAACGGAAGTGAAGTTTACTTCCGTCTTTCCACTTGTTTCACTGGATTCCGAACGAAGTTATTATGAGAATCTGTATAAAATTTAGCAAGGAAATTTAATTTTAGTCATAGACTCTAATATGTATATCAGGCTCAAACGAACCTCACCAATAGACACACGCCACATACTTTATTTTTATGCGTTTGGTCCGCTAGATAAGTTATCGTTATTTTCCTGAAGATACTGCCTGTGGTGTTTTAGGGAGATGGTCTTCACAGTTTTATGAAACTTTATCAAATTCTCTTGAACCGTTTTCGAGAAAAGAGTTTTGTGGTTGAGGACCTCTGCGAAAGGCCCCTCTGTCTGGGAGTAGGTTTTTCATACCGATTGGACAGCGACCTATAATTGATAAACACCTGAATACCGAATTCCAATAAAGTCCGTCCTACCGTTCGGGCGCTGTGACACGTAGACCCTTTACCAAATAACAGCCGTGTAAACAGACGATAGTTCAAGGGCCGTTGCTAAGAGACAGCTCTGTGAACACGTCGTTTCCCCAGCAGCGAGAAAACACGCAAGAATGGAAGCGATGTTTTCTGTGCGGTCAGTGCCGGGACTATTTAACGGGGACTTGTAGATCAGTATGCTGTGGAGGCGGGTTCGAATCCCTCCACCGTGACTCTGCGAGTCGTAGGAGGCGATGAAAAGTGAAGTATCAAATTTGAGACAGTAAGACTATATGAGCTCGAGTACCAAGGGACTCATACCCGAGAAATTCTGCGCTGGCAAGGACCAGCAGCATGTACAAAATACAGATCCTCTCGTTAGAGAGGGGGCCAACAAAAAAACAAGACCGTAACTGTCAAACAGTAATAAAGATCTGGTCGCAAGCCCCAGACGAGTGCTTTATGCCAAGACAGACTGGCCGACTGACCGTCGGTCGTAAAATGTGAGTCAGACTCAGAGTAAGTATGCAGTATAGGGGAAGGTGAACCCAGACAGAAAATATAAGAGGCTTAAACTTGACGGTGGTCAAGCTAGTGACCGTTCAATTGACTAAACTGTTGTTGTAGCATAAGGTAAGTAAAGTATGCATGATCTGCTCTGCAAAGCCTGTACTGATATAGGACTTGGTTATAACGTCATCAAAGGGACCTAAAAATAGTGTCGTTATAAACGAATGTCGTTGTAACCGAAATGGGCACTTCCACAGTAGCCTTATGTTAGTCACGTAAAAATCTACCAAAAACCGAGTTAAAATGTTGCATTTTTTAGTGAAATACGTAGTTAAGTACAGACTAACGTAACATTAACGTGGAATTGCCCAAATGTGTAATATCAAAGACATATTACAGCGCTTTTCACTGACAATACACACAATATTTCACGAATCACTTTAACTTTCTCTTCAATGCTTAAAACTTTCCTTTTCATTGCCATGTTTTCGCTACTGCACTTCTCTGGGTTTAGGCAGGAACACTATAGGGTAAGTAGACAATGTGAGGTCCTGTTAGACGAGATTCTAGGAAAGGAATGCAGTTAACAACCTGCCGCGTCCTCTTGCACTATTCACGCAGTCCCACCCCACACCCTTGTTTTCGCATAAAACCCACGCTTCTCTTGCAGGCCGCGGTCGTATTCTTCCAGGACAGTCACGTCAGCAAGTAGAGAAAGTGAGGGTGGGCAGACACATCGAACTTTCCCACGATATCAGAGAAATTCAGGAATGAAAATGACGTTACATACGAGGTTGATGCATTTGTGCATGTCGTACTAAGCAAGGTATAAAAACAGTTGCTTTATGAGGAATTAGTTCGTACCATTATTTGACGCAACCGATGTTGCTATAACCAAGTTTTACTGTATATATATAGTGCAAAAGCAAACATTTTCAATGATGTTTCATGTGCGAAATACGAACACTTGACAAAAGGTGAAGCATATTCATAAGAGACGAAACCCATCCTCTCGTCAGAGAGGGTGTTACATAAAGACTATGACCACAAGGGTTCAGGTGCGAAAATCTTTGGTCGTGAGTCTCAAAGGACTTGAAGCGAAGATTGTATACCGCCAGTTGTAAAGTAACTCTGACTCTGACACTGACTTTGAATGGATTGTTGGGTCGAGTCAGTTGAGAGTTTCAGTTGTGAGAAATGAGAAGCTGGTAGCTGAGCCCGGGGAGAGTTCGGAAACGCAGACGAAGGTGAACGTCCGCCGTTGAAAGCCGCTACCAAGCAACGGCTAGTGAAGAATGAGAAGACTTTATGTGTGCCGTAGTTACAGTGACCTGTGGTGCGTGTAACTCAGCGATACCGTCGTAATTATAAGTAGTCAGTTCCGTAAGTAATTCCAATTAACAACCAATCCCCATCTATAGTCAATCACGTGACGATACAGAGAGAGAGAGACAAATAGATGACGTTGCAGAAACCACTTATAGGAATGAGGCGGAGTAGGCTGAAAACTCGTAAATCCATCGACATTTCAAGATCGATTTTTTTTTCACGATCACAGTACTATCTGTTACATTCTGCACCTCTGCACTTGTTTTATGTTGCGTGAACTGCGTGACCGTGTCTTGAAGTTGAGTTGTGTACCTTTGTAATCCATAACTTTATTTTATATCCTTTATCACGTCTGTCAATTACAACACATTTAGGTTGGTTGTTTACCCTATATGTTTCGACATCTACAATGTCATTTTCAGGGGTGTAAGTTTTGACGTTATAAAGTCGAAATATCTTAAATGTTTAAAATCATGTTCAACTTTGAGCTAATATTGAGTTTGCAACGTAAAACACACACCCTGTAGATTATAGATGTCGAAACATGCAAACAACCATTCCAAAGGTGTTTTAATTGGCGGTACATGTTAAATGAGGTTAGCGACCATAGCTTGAAAATAAGAGCGAAGGCTGTTCTGATCCTCATTATGCGTTGCTAGGCAACTGAATTGTGTCTTCAAATACGTAAGGAAGTAAAAAATTATCCGTCCTCTTGTTTTTCCAGTGTATATGCACAAAAATAGGGATTGAACAAGAACGTCATTTTTCTACATAGTCTCCTTCCTTGTTGATGCACTTGGTGCAGCGGTCCACAAGCTTGCGTATTCCCTCCAAGAAGAAGAGTTTCGGTTGGTCGCGCAACCATCTCCTTCCTTGTTGATGCACTTGGTGCAGCGGTCCACAAGCTTGCGTATTCCCTCCAAGAAGAAGAGTTTCGGTTGGTCGCGCAACCCCCTCCTTCCTTGTTGATGCACTTGGTGCAGCGGTCCACAAGCTTGCGTATTCCCTCCAAGAAGAAGGTTTCGGTTGGTCGCGCAACCATTTATGCACCGCTTCTTTGTCCGTAGAAAATCGACGACCTCGTGGAATAATTATTTATAGTTACGACCTGTAGGTTGTTAATAAATGCAATTACCAATCCAAACCCGCGTCTCGGTCATCCAAACATGTGACAATATTTAGAAGGTTCCTCGTCAAACTTCACCTTGCAGACCGAGTGTACTTGCAGGGCTTCCATGGCATTCCTCAGCCCCTCCAAAGCAAATTCCTGGAAACTATATTTGGCCAAGGCAACATCTCTGTGACTCTTTTTAAATTCATTACTTAATGCCATCCAATCGTTTGATGCTATACAGACTGGTTAATGAAAGCATTTTTCAATACATCATAAATTATTTTGAGTTAAATTCTAAGGTTTGTTCTCGATGTTTTTGCAGTTCGTCGGCGCGGTCGCAATCTCGCATGGAGCTAGAGACACATTCAGTGATCCAAATAAAAACTAACAGGACCAATGGAAACAATAAAGAAACGAAAGAGGACTTGAAGTGAACGGTAGGGTGCGTCCGCCTGTCCGTCTGTCTGCATGACTGAAATAATTGGAGAATATATGAACGGTATAACATCTGACATTACGTTTTTATGATTTGTTCACACATTCCAATTATGATCAAACAAAAACAAAACAACAAACAAACAAACTCCGTGGTCTGTAGTCAGCAAGCGAACTATACTGACCGAGCAACCGCCGCTTGTCGGCGAAGTTAGTGCCAGCTTCTGCTGATAGAGGGTGTCACGTGGTCAGCGCAACGGATCCCCACGGCAGTTAAACTCGGTTTTCTAGACAGGAGCCGCTATTTCCTTGAAATAGCTCCTCAGTTATCATCACGCGGCTGATGGATCCACTTCCAGATTCACTACTTCTAAGAAAATCTGGTAGCGCCGGGAATGGAACCCAGGACCACTGGATCTGTAGCCAGGAACTCTGACCACTAGACCACAGAGGTGGTTAATTATATTCAAAATCTAAAAACAAACACAGCTTACAGCAAAGATTAACTTGTGTATATACGTATATATCTGAAGCTTAAGATTATCTAAATATTTATCGGAACAAAAGTTATAGAGATTGAAATAAATCATGTATTTTAGCGTCCTGTTGCACTGAATCATATTCATAATGTGTATATGTTAACAGTCTTCAAGTGCATACAATCCCATCTACCGCTTCTACACTACATGTTTCGGCAGTATGCTGCCATCTTCAGGTGTATCGATCCGTCAACCATTTCACTGCTTGCCTTTATATGTCCATTCACAAAGAATATTAAATTTGTATATGTCCTTATATAATAATAAAGTTCATGTGTTTAAAACTTGTTAAAACCTATTATCTCATACGTCATATTTTTAAAATTACCAATCATCCACATGTTGACACATCCAACGATACAACGCACGCAGCCACAAGAGTGGAACGCACCATAACACACAATATACACACAACATTAGAAACATAAGAAGAACGACCCCCATGTGGATGATTGGTAATACACACGAATTTTAAAAATATGACGTACGCGATAATAAGTTTTA